ATATATATATATATATATACAGCCATATGCATAAACTTTGACCCTTTTTTATATATCTACAAGTATATCAAAAATTATGGGATATCCTCCCGGAAATTTTCAGAAAGCCCTAGTGATGGACAACTCGAAAAAATATCAGGCATGATATCCAATAATTTCTGATATATTTTTGATATACTTGTATATATGTACAAAAGGGTCAAAGTTTTTGCATATGGCTGTATATATATACACTTGATTGCAGAAAGGTTGTAGCATACATTTATACAGATACCTAATGAGATGCAAAATATCAAATGAGATCCAGAACGTAAAACATGCTTAAATACGATTGCTTAGCTACTACATTTTGTGAAAAATACTTTTTTTAACTTGACTTTGTGCAATACTTATGTCTCTGATACAATAGAAGATATATAAGACCAAATAAGTTACTTTTTAAGCTTTACATCTCATTTGATATCTTGCATCTCATTAGATATATGATTAAAAATCTGATTTATGTTCAAAGGAATTTCAGTCGTGATTGGATGGAATGGATTTGATGATTTTGTCATTTTCTTTGCTTGACTGAAAGTCTGCTAAAATATGTTCTGATTGTTATTGTCAAAATATATCTTTGCGCGACGGACGAGCAGTATTTGTAGAAAAGAAAAGTCGACAAACCAGACAAGCAGGTTTGTAAAGAATGCGCTTTTATCAGGTATTTTGAAATTAGTAAGACAGAAAAATAATTGCCATGCCTGGAAAGAGCAGGTTAAAATTAGTAAATGATGAAGTTTGAAGGACATAATATGTTCAAAACTAGCGAAGATATGATTTTTGAAAAGTGTAAATTTCGTAAAAAAAAAACCAAACAACACTTGCTGGAGGTAAGAGATGCCAACGATTGTTTTCATATAACATTTTGATTTTTGAAAATTCATATCTTCTTGAATTTTAAGCTTACTTCCTTCATACTTTATAGTTTTACTGATTGTAACACGCTCTTTCCAGCTATGGTACTTATTTTCTGTCATGGTAGTTTTGAAATTAGATGATAAAAAACATATTGCATTGATTGATGACGAGTCTTACCAAAGCACTTGCAATATAGAAAATGACATATCAAAGTTCGGCTCATCCAACACTGACATTAACCCAACCGGAACATCGAATATAGAAAACTATCAAATCCAAAGAAATAATGTAATGTATAAACATAAACTTAAATGATCTAAGTTGTCATGAAAGGCTTCTCTGTTAAAAGACTTAGAATGTTTGTCCTGATCGGGATTTCTTTGACTAGAACAACTCCGCTCTGAGTTTGGCGAGTCGAAGTGACTTGAACTACATCATTTGCCTCGCAACGTTATATAATCCATCCGTTCATTAGTAAGCTGTGACTTCTTCCAAATCGCTACATTATTAGCAATGAGGAATATTGTGCTCGTACAGCTATGAAGGGCCGGGCAGGCCATAAATTTTGTAACTGATGAAACGCGATTAAGATGTCGTTGTTCGTCTTATTGTTGCGTAAAAAAGGCGGATTTATCATCCTTCTAGACTCAATGATGCTACACGATGAATAAAATGTAAACTAAAATGACAAAAATTGATCAATGGAACAGGTGAATTTTTGAGCACTTTGATTAATAGGAATATGGTACCATAATTGATGATGTGTCGAAAATTGTATATGACATAATTTGATTTGTCAGTTATCAGACACGTTGCAGGAAGCAAAGGCCGGAAAACATATTGTCATGGTGGACCCAATCAAATCAGTCTATGTAGGGATGCAAGGTGACGTAATTTCGCCATAGATAAAAGAGGAAGAAGGAAGGAAGAAAGAGAAAAATTCCCTCAAAGCCAGAAGCGATTCAAAGAAGAGAAAATTTTTTAATTATTTTATGGGGGAATAAAAGTTATAAATGTCTCTAACCAACTTTTTCCTTTTACGAGATGACTGGTTATTTACGACTTACAGAAGTGTAACGATATTAGAGCACTTTACATGGTTAAGTGAGCGCACGTATGCACACAAAAAAACGGGAGAAATAAGGTATATATTATTTTCTTTAGTCGTTTTAAGCGAGCAGTTAGTAGAGGTGAGTAGTTGAATTTTTGGAATAGTTTGTGATCTTTTTTCGACAACAGAAAAATCTAACCAATACATTTACATTTCGATGGATAAAAATCAATATGTGATCCTTGAACGTTGTGTGCATAGAACATTGAATGTAGTGGTAGTTTGTGTGAGGGAAAAGTGTCTCCAAATAGTACGAAAAGCACTAGAACGACTAGATACTTAGATAAAGATATTCATTTATTTTATTTTATAAGCCTGAGAGAAAATGATTTTTAAACATTGTTATTGTGGCCGCGCACTTTATTCAATTAGTTCCACGACTCATTATATCAGTAATTTCGTATTTGTACRAAATTAAGAGAAAATCATGGACCAAGTTATCATTATCAGATCTTCAGGATTACGTTTGTGAAAATTCTAAAGATTAAAATGGCTTTCACAAAGTATAGTCTAAAGCTTATCTCAAAGTATTATTTTGTTGAATGAAGAAACGACCACGATTCGTTAGTTTAATTTTAATCTTTAACTATGCTAATTTTAATCTTTTTCTYTTTTCGTACGTTGAGGAAAAACTTGCTGTGCATATAATTTGATAATATATCGTTGACAATCGATTAAATATCTGGTGGATAGGGACTGGAAAAACGCCACCTTTTGTTCAGTTTATAAACAAATAAAGTTAGAGGAATTAACGGTTGGGGTGGCAAGTCTGGCGTCGTTTGCTTGCTACTCAACCATGAAGAATCAGTAGTGATAAACACGAACGGCGTCACACCCACATCCGCAGCAGAATACAGCACGAGGTGGCGTCAAACAGGAAAATGTTTTCATGGGTTTGTCCTTAATTCTTGATCCACCAAGCAAGCCCAACCGATGAAGCTTCGTAAATTAGATCTAAAATCAACGTCCACTGACTAAATGTATTCATGCTCGACACATTTTAATGGTACAAATATATATCTATTCATCTAATAACCTTGATTATAAACAATCGTTCAGTTATGACATCACACTTTCTATGAATGAATGACATCTCTGAGAGCCTTGCTATATGAAAAATAGTCTATCAGGCGAGTGAATTCATTCCCTGACTCGTCGATGATCGATAATCTTGAACTTGCTACAGTTACAAGTCAAAGCCACATCGATTGAGAAAGCTTGAGACTGATGAATGCAGTATCCTCGAAGCCGCAGGTAACGAAAAAACATTTCCACTTCTAGCAAGCAACAACTTTTTATTTCTTACTCTAAATTGTCCTTGGAGTTTTGGATTTTTTCCACTATAGTTTAAAGAGTACTTTCACCTCTTCATAAGTTTTATTTCATGAATGAACTTGTTTTGTTGATTCAGTTTGAACATTGACTTGGATATAGCAATAGAACTGAGAAACCCCTTTTTATATTCTTCTGGAAAAAACTTGTTTGATAGATAGACATTAACTGAATGATCCAGTTCACCCCCCTCTCGACAGCTCCCTAAACTGCTAATTTTCATACCAGATTATAAATGATATTACGTTGTTTTTTTTCAAAGAGTGAGCTAAATTAAGATTCGATCATTGAACTGTTTCTAATATTGACTCTATCCGTTGTGATTTTTGGCGCTTTCAATAGGACCTGATCGACATCCACGCTTGGCCACGTCTATTTTGATAAAGCATGGCTCCACTCAAGCATAGAGTTGTTTGTCAAAAAGTCTAACTAAATAACGGGGTCACTTAAAAGCACATGTTAAAATAGACATGCAAAATTCACGTGAGTAAAAAATAGAAAAAATAGAACTCAATCCGCCACGACTGAGCTTCCTGGAGCAGCCCCAAAATGGTTTAGTGGTGGAACATGCCTTGAGAACGTTTAGCTCTCATGAATCTATATCACTTCAGTTCTTGTTTTGTTCAAGGCGTCCTTGTATATTGCCTCTAACTTAGAAGAATCCTATTAGTGGCCAGATCAACGAGCCAAATCACATCTAAAATATTCTATAAATAAGATATGTATTCATCCTCGTTTCTCAGTTTATGGAAGGATAATCTTTCTATAAAAAGGGGAATTATCACCCACTAAATTCCGAAACAAATGAAAAACTCAATGTTTAATATTAGTCGATATTTCTACCCTTTGAATCAATCCAGCCCACGGGATTAATAATATAGGACTAATGTCATCCCACTGTAATAACCCATCATATACTTTACATAACCAAGGAATAAATATCGAAGTTCAATCACTAATCTAAACCGCTCAACCAATATCGGACTATTACTATAATCTTGGTGACTGGCCACGTGACGTCCTCAAGTTGTTTTTCCGTGTAAGTGGATGGGTCGGGTAACTTATTTTTTTGGAACATTAGAAAAGTTAAACCTAAATTTTTCAGTTTGTAAAAACTGCTTTTTATGATAACAACGTTYATAGTAACGTTGAGTATCAGAATTTGTATCAATGATTATTCTTGCGTAATTCTTTGAGTAAAAGTCAAGGTGAACTTCACGGCCAAAAAGAGCGAAAAATATAAAAGTTTTGCTCAGTAGAAAGTCGTACCTGGAGAGTAAAATGCATGATTTGTAGTATTTCATACAAATCTAGTTATAATTTCCGAAATAATTCCGCTTCTTGTCGTGAAGGTCATTGCTACATATTTGGTCATTTGTTGACAACATCATCCGAAGTTTAATATCGCAACAATTATCCATGAATTATTTACTCGCACGAGACTGCTTAGTGGCTATATATCACTTAAACATGGGGRAAAAAAAGAAATGTTAACTACCGACTAAGCCCTGGACTAACCATATAGGCCCTTGCAATGCCATCATCACGAAATAATTTTCCCGTTAGTTTTTAGCAAAGAAATTAAAGTGCTTTGATAGACGTTGAGTTTTTGCGCGACGTTACACGACATTGAAAAGGTTGTGAACTTTTTTTCAGTCCCTGCTTGAGGCTAGCAATTAAGTCACATATATTCATGGCTATCAGATATACCAATATTAGACCTTTGTGGTATATTGCTCACTCAGTCACTATACATAAATACTTAGGAAATATTTCTAAAGAGGAGAACATATATAAATAAGAGAAAAATTTTGGTTGAACATGGCAACAACAATATCAAAGTAATTCGCCAATTAGCACGCAGAATTAAGAAAATTCGAGTTTAATATAAGCCGGTAATATATAGTGAAGGATTTAACAACAAAAGAAAGAAAGCTTCAGCTAAAATCACTACTATAGCTTTGAAACTAATGGAATTTTTGTAGAAGGTAAATATGATATATTACATCTTTAATTCTTGAGCAGAATTCATTTTAATTGAATTTACTGTGTTTTTTATTGGTGATCGGATGGATAAAAAACGTTGCAGCCGTTAATTAAAAGTAGGCCATTTTCACACTTTAAATTAACATAACATCGATAAAATTTGAAGTTTGAAGCCTTTCTTTAAAACATTGCATGATTGAACGGCTAAATGTACTTGCGTTTCTTCGTCTATATCACGTTCTTTGTCTTCCGTTTTATTTCTATTTTCATTCATTTATATTAAAATCTATAAAAAATTCATTTATACCTTTTTCAAAACTGCTATGATTAAAAATGCGACATCAAGTAGAAGTTTCGTTTGGTATGACCATCTTTTTTTGATATTTAAAATATATCAATAATTTCAAAACATAGCACGCTAGAGTGCAAACAATCRATTCGTGAAACACTAGTTACTAAATAGTACGAAATAGTGTAATTAAACAATAGAAAACAATGGAATTTGCATGAAATTGTGCTATTTAGTATTACTAAAGTTTCACGGTTATATTGTTTGCACTCTATAATATTTTATTTAATATTGTCCTAGAATATTTTCATGTTCTTAACCTGATCTTGGAGTTATATCAAACTTGAATTTCCAAGCTCTCGTCTTAACATTGAGAACAGAAGAACAAGGAGAGACCATAGTTAATTGAGTGGTATAGTTAGGAAACCCTCTTGTTATAGGTCTTTGTTCACTTTTTTCAAGCGTGACCGTGCACAATCCTTTGTCTTACCATTGTTGGCAATAGCTAGTTCAAAATACTTAAAGATTTATAAGAGATATTTGAATACTCCTCACAATAATCCCATAGACAAAGTTTATGTTTACTTATTTTGTAATTTGGGATGAGCATAAATCAAACATTGTGCACGGTCAAGACCGGTTCAACATCAAAAGCGAACAAAGCTGATAACTATAGGTTTCCTAAATATTCCCCTTTATTAACTATGGAGAGACCAAGCACTAAGTGACATCGGGGATATGGGATGCATCATTTGAACAGCCAAAGAAAGCTGAAGTCACGTAAACGGCTTTCCTTCCTTCACTTTAAAAACAATAAACAAGTCTGATAGAAGACAATGTCAAAGTTTCTCCCGTCAAAATACCAATGGGCGTCGTTCATACTGAGGTCTCTTCTATACATAGTATAAAGTGGCTTTAATAGCCTCGTAGAACGAATGAATTACACTAAGCGAGAGAAAAACTGAATTTTTTCCCAATAATTAATTATATTCATATGCGTGGGCGAGAGACTTTTACAGTCAAAAGCACTTGAGTTGATTGCACAGAAGTGGGATTTCAAACACTTCAATGATTTCCACTGAATAAGTGGGAGACGTGACCTAACTGCTAGCTTTCAAATGGCAACTTATTGCGTTTCGACATAAATGAGTTCTATCAAAATGGGATTCAACGCAGTCAGTTATGGCCAATAAACTTATGATTATCGATAAATTTTACTTATAGTCTGATAGAAACGCATTTTGTTTGATGCGAAAACTTACAGAAAATGATAGTTTCGTACAGCTAAAAAAATACGACAGTCTTTGGCAGTTGTTGACTGTAGCCCCGGATATATTTAGATACAAATAGCTTCAGTTGATGTGTTTAGACTAGTATGCGTGCAGAATTCTTTATTAATCTCCTAACAAAGACAGACGTGCTAAAAACATATCTTAAACGTTCATTTTTAGTTCAGAGAAAAGAGAGTGGTTTTTTTTCACAACAAAACCTTTACGCTAATTACTGCATTGTTCACAAGCTTATCCTAAGGAAAACTTAAAACCTACATACCGTTTTTGCTATCGTGAAAATGCATGCGACATATAAGAAGGCGATGTGATTTTCTACAGCATTCCCGTGTAGATTTTAAGCTACGGGCATGCGGTGCAACGCAGGCAATCAACAAACCTACCCCCCAGTCAGCAACCTGACATTGCCTGTTAGCCAGTACAAAAATGCCCTTGCAAATACTCTTATCCAGAAATAATAATTTCTAAGAATAATTTGTATCATAAGTTCTAAGTTGAAGGATGTGATGGTAGGAATAAGCTTGTACCACCTCTACTCTATAAACACTTGTCAACCAAAATCTACTTTTGAAAAGCGCAAAATTAAAGAGGGGAAAAAAGATTTAAGCTTCAAAAAACCTAATTATGAAAATCGTGAAACAAATACCACCGAGAAATATTTATCAGTATAACTTATACCAAATGATTTTGGCACATTTGAAGCTGTAAAGCACAAAAAAATATTTGGGTGTATTTTCATTTAGCTTTTAAGCTTAAAAGCTATCGAATTCGTGTCCAACATTTTAAAGTTTACATTTCACAGATATGAAAAGCTATTCAAAAAACTTTGTATTTTGTTGGATAAGTAGTAGACCTAGGTCTGCACTAGGATATCAACTCTTGTTTTTAGACAAACAGCTATAAGGTTGAATTGAGTAAAATGGGAGCTTACCTCAAAATGACTTGTCTTTGACTTGTGAAAGGTGCTGACACAGAATGAAGTAGATGATGGCGAATGCTTGAAAACTCCTAGCGGTTTCGTGCCTCTATCAGACGCCTATAATAATGCATGTTCTTCCTTCAYTTATGTAACCCATAGATACAACAACAACAAAAATATACAAAAACTAATTTTCCGCTAGAATTCTTGTTCATGGAATTTGAGAAAGCTTACCTTATCATATTGCCAAAACTACACTTAGGGTCTTAAGAAGTTAGGAAAAGACTTATCCATAAGTGATTTATGCTATTAGGCGTGAATGCTTCAACGGTAAATTAGATTAAATAAAAGATAAAAAGAGAAATTCCTATGTAAAGAAATCGTTATTTCGCATTAAAACAAAGAACAAGAGAAAAACTGATGGCTGCCTTTGACACCGAGTTAGCGAAGTTATATTTTCCCGCCATTCTACAAACGCGTTCGTACCGGAAGTAAAATAGTTGATATATTGTTAAATCAAAAAATCAGATACAACGTTCACAATATTCTCAACGTTCACAATATATGCTCGGTTTTAATTTGTAGTTTGAAAAATTGCCGAAGGGCAGCAAACGGTCACTCATTATGGATATCAGTCCTTGTACGACTAATTTTCCAACACACTTTGCTTAGCCAGTGACGACCACATAAATCAGGTTTCTTGGTTTACTGAGCTAAATAAAACTACAAATAATTCAGTCCCAATTGGTTTTGCAGTTTCCCTGAGTTTTGATGATAATATCTTATCTTTTAGTTGAACAAGCATAAAAATACTCAGCAGGGAAACTTGCAATGAATAARAAATAAAAAAATWAAAAAAATTGGTAGCTAGACATTTTAGTGAAAAACAACCGTCATTTTTTTAAACCCTCATATGATAAGCCATGGAGGAAATGGAATACTTTCATGATACTACTGGCGTCCAGTCCTTGTCCTCAGAATCTTTCCCAGCTTCTTTAAATAGTAATAAAAGATAAATAATAATTTGGTATCTAGCCTACTACTTCAAATTTTTTTGGTAATATCATGAATTTTCGGGTCCACCACATTTTTTCTTTGGCCTAGGATGAATCATATTAATCACCTGTTTTCACTATTGCAAATACTGACAATATTTCTAGTACTTCTTTGTTTTTTGTTTAGTTTTTCTATAAGCAAAAATATGAAATAATAATTTTTAAAAATAAGAAGTAATTTTGAATTATAAACAGTGAACTATAAAAATAGGATTAAACAATTTCTAGAGCATATCATGATATCAGTTTTAGCCTATTCAATTAAACGAAAAAATTGGAATCCTGCTCCTATAGACCAAATTCAAAACTCGCACCGATGTGCTTAAGTTGTGAACAAAGGGATCTGGCGTGATTCGTGACTTTTGAATCACGCCAGATTACTTTGAGTCGCGCCAGATCCCTTTGTTCACAATTTAAGCCTCACATCGGTGCGAGTTTTGAATTTGGTCTATCCAACAAAGGTCATGTTTAACTCAACAAGACAGACTTGCACTGATGATAATCAAGTTTTATTAGTGAAAATAAGGAGAACTATAGAAATGAAATGCAATGACGGTGAGGCAAACCACGGCAAGCTGAATGGGTCTATTCCAAAACGATTTGTGATGGGGCAATATTGAACCAAGTACACAATAGATCTACTCCCTAAAGGGTTTGAAATAAACCAAACCGTGAGAATAGATCTATTCCCAAATAATTTGAAATGGCACGACATTAAACCAAACTTAATGGGAGTATTCATAGTAGACCATTTCACAGATCCCGCAGCTCAACCTCAGCCTCGTCAGCGTGTAATATATTCTTTAGAAATTGCCTACAACCTGTGAAATTTTTAAGTGTTTCAATTGTTCGTTAATGTGTAAATTCCTTTCATTACTGCGGACTGTAGTCAAATTCTCAAAGAATAATTACACGCTGACGAGGCTGAGGTTGAGTAACGGGACCCGTGAAATGGCCTATTTATTTGAAATGGGACAACACTGGGCCAAACAGAATAGATCTATTCCCGAAAGATTTGAAATAAACCAAACAGAATGGCTCTATTCCCAAATGATTTGAAATGGAATAAATTGGACCAAACAGAATTGGTCTCATCTCGCTGAAGAAAGTAAAATAATTAGAATGGAACAACATGAAAACCTAATCAGTTCAGAACTAAAAGTGCTATGATACAACCACTTACTTTTAAGTCAAAAAATAATGACTTTTAGTTGAAGTCATTGCGCTTTTTCCAGTGGTGCTTGCACAGTTCACCTTCCCTTTTTCTATACTCTTTACTCTTTCCCTTCACATATAGAGTGCGATCCAGCCAAAAAGAAGTGGTCCTCTCTCACCCCRTGTGTCAGTTGTCCATCCCGCATGTTCTCCAGCTATGATGTACAATTTCAGTATAGCAGACATCGTTGGTTATTTGTTTAACCATTCTGAAATGAAAGGCGTGAATATTGATGAGAAGTTGGCGCCTTCGGATAACACTAATTCGTTGGAGAATGGTAAGTCCGATCTCTGTGTACGGAGTAGATAGAGATTTGCGCAAGCATGTCTCTATCCTCTGATATGAACACGCCTGCAAATCAGCGCGCGCGTTATATTTTAAAAATGTTATAAACAACGACAAGTGAAAACCAGGCTTAAGGAATCTCGCGCTATTTCTACAAGAAATGAGTTAATCAAGTCTGACAAGTATTTCTCTATTTTCCAATAGACTGTGCTGCGTGCAGTGAACACCCAAATGGTAAATGCTCTAAGCACAAACACCTGGAAACCCTACGAATTCTTAAAAACCCCGAGTTAAAAGATCAATTGAGTACCCCGCGGGCGCTGAATTCATTTCCTCCTGAAGTCGAGCTGTGTACGTCCAGTGTCCCCGGTAAACGATATGGTGTCCGGGCTTTGCAGAACATTCCAGAAGGAACGTGGATAGGGCCGTATGAAGGGAAACACATCAAACCTGAAGACCTAACTCCCGATGTGGACACTTCGTACATGTGGGAGGTAAGACACTGAAGCACGTCTTTGGCATACAACTGCCGAACTGGGAACAAAGTATGTGTCATGACGGTATCGTGCCTGGCCATTTTCATTGTCTGAGCAATGATTTTGTGCGCTGTGAGTGGTCAAAAGGATGTCAATACCGTGACCGTGTCATTTCTGACATTTCTATTTTTACACTAAAGAGAGTGAGGACGGCGTGACACAAACGTTCAGTGGTTTGTGATGTGGTTACGACATTCTAACAATAACTCTTGGCCGAAAGGGAAGGCGGTTCTCATACTCATTAATAATTCATATTTTTGGGCTATTTTTGGGTCACATGATGTTACTTGAAACCTGGTAAAGTGCTGTGAAAGGAATGCATTCAGTCTGGAGTAACTGGAACAAAATTAATTCAGTCCTAGGACTGAATTAATTTTGTTCCAGTTACTCCAAGTCGAATAATTAATGAGATGAGAAGTCATTTCAAAGCCTCCAATATCGGAATGGACGGGATTTCAAGTCCGCGCAATTAGTTCCAGTTCTCGGCTGCGCCTCGGTATGGAACTAATTGCTTTGATTGAAATCCCGTCCAGTCCTCTTTGTCGGCTTTGAAATATTACTTCAAACATGCCCACTTGTAATATCGATAGACACAATTGTATTTTGTAAGGCTTTTGCTAAACGTTATCTCTGTTCCTTCTGTTCTATAAGATTTTTCAAGACGGAAAGTTAGTTTTCTACCTGGACGCTAGTGACGAAAACCAATCAAGCTGGATGCGTTATATCCGTTGTGCTCGTTACAAAGATGAGCAGAACACTTCAGTCATGCAGTACTTTGGCAACATCTACTACAGAGTATTCAAAGACATTCCTCCTAGGCAAGAGATACTTGTTTGGTACGACGACTCCTGTCCTCATTATCTTGGCATTCCACTCAAGATGCAAGATATTGGGGCATCTTCCTCTTATAATTCACGTGGTACGTGTCGTTTATGTACCTGTCATTGAATAGACCTCTTCCACTTCGGCGTAATGTTTTCCCATTTCAGACCACGTGTCATTATCTCGAGAGAAAGATTCTTTGTTTGGGTTCTTTCCATATTCAATGTCACTTGCTCTGAACTGGAAATAAACATTAGGCACAAACTAAAGAGGTCTTTTCGTGATGGACCAAATCCACTTGGGCGTAAGGTTTTGACCATTTCAGACCATGTGTCATCCCTTAAGAATAAGCCTCTTTGTTTGAGTTGTATCCATATTCATGCGCAAACGTTAAACAAAGAAATAATACTCTAGGGAATGACACGTGGTCTGTAATGGGAAAACAGTGGTCTATTAAGCCGAGCGCTTGATGAAAAAGGAAAAACCTAATATTTAACCGGGATTATTCATGGCGATGAGGGTGGTGTGGGCCTGAGAGGTACGAAGAAAGGGAGAGACGAAGAGAGGTTGAAAAAGAAGGTGAGATAGAGAGAGCAAGGAAGGTTGGGAGTGAGCCGGTTAAGTAAATGAGGCACTGTTCGTTTACATTTTGAACAAAGCATCAATCCCATCATGCATAGAGATGAGAATGCTTCTCACTGAAATTCCCAAAGGCATATTTACATATTTAAAAAGCCTATTTTATCATTATTTATGATGATGATGGTGATTGAAGATAATTTTGTATCCTTTTTCTTAGCAGTCGTTACAACTTCGGAAGCCATAACTGTCCCCAGTATTACTCAAGGAACAACTACCACAGGAAACCCACCTACAACAATTACTTCACAACCAAAAATAATATCACCAATGCTGATGACTCATCGCCAACTGGATTACCCGTATCAATACCCGTTACCAGCTGTAGCAAGACCACAGGTCTTGTTGTCTGGATATGCACCTCTTCTTCCCCCTAATGGATATGACTTTATTATACCAAGCACGACTAACTACAACTCGAATCATCTACGAAAGCATGACGACACTTCTCCGAAAACTTCCTTATATAGTAAGAGTGTTTTAAGTTCAAGTTACRAAAATGGATCAACAAACACCATCATGACAAACTGTATCACTAACAAGCCTTTCATTTCTTATCGAGCAAAGCCCTACTCACGTGACCTACCGATTAACCAATCAAAGACAACTCACTTACGTGAAGTAGAAGTTGACCAATCAAAGAACACGTCGAATCATTTCAAAGCTAATACTAACGACCTTGATCAAAATGGCAACATTGAGAATAGACTGTATGACAAGGAATATTATCACCGTCAAAGATTGATTATGAATTCCACCGACAGGACGATCGATAAATTTCTTTCTCAAATCGAGGAAGCAAGAAATGAACAGAAAAAGGAAAAACAAGACGAGCACATACAGGAGGGTAACAAAGAGTTCAATTCCTCCAAAAAGGTTGACAACGACTTAGAACAACCCGAAATAAGTATCTGGAAATGCGGGCAGTGCGAGAAAGCCTTTGCCCAGCAGCAAATACTCCAACTTCACATTTGTTCCAGAGTTCCTGAGAAACCTTATCAATGTACGTATTGCCCAGAAGCCTTTGCGCAACCAAGCGAGTTGCGCACGCATGCTGTGATACACAGCGGCAAAAAGCCCTTTAAGTGCGGGTTTTGTTCAAGGTTATTTGCAGGCTCAACTACGCTCAATAATCATATCAGAACACATACTGGTGAAAGGCCCTTTGGATGCGAAAAGTGTGGACGCGCTTTTTCTCAGGCGTCACAACTCAGTAGGCATCGTAGAACAATGTTTGAATGCACATAAATGAAACAAATCTAAAAATTGTCCTAGTAGAAACAATTATTTTGCCATCGTTGTCGGTTTACCTAGCCTCTACATTACAATCGACCGTGTGTTTTGCCAATACTAATGGACAATCAGATGATTAATAATGGCCGAAAAAGTAATCGTGATATGGTAATAAGGAATGATGTAACAAAATTTACTTGACGTTTCGATGTTGTGGACATCATTCTTAAATATGACAATAGTTTTCGCGACATCGAAAAAGCAATCGGATGCTATAGATATAGATAAGATAATGCTATAGATAAGTTATGGATATCTATTAAAAGTGTAGCAAGCTTGATTTTTTTTCTTTTTTTCAAGCTTGATTTTGCAACAAGTCCTATAGTGGTTACTTAGTAAGTTAACGTTTGAAGTAATGCATACGTTTAGATAATCATAACCATAAATATACCTTATCCTTTTTCACATTTTAGACCACTATCTTTTCTTGAATTTATTTTATTTATTTTAGGCTTATCGATTTAAACGGTAATTTAACAGAGTTTATAATAACAAATGACTATTTTTGAATATTAAATAAAAAATCTCATTACACAAATACACAAATATTGGAAAAATAATATATGTACTGTACACTAATGTCACCAATACATGATGCACACTGTACACTACACTCACCAACACATGATGCACACTGTACACTACACTCACCAATACATAATGCGCACTGTACACTACACTCACCAACACATGATGCACACTGTGCATTACACTCAACAATACATCATGCACACTGTACACTACACTCACCAACACGTCATGCACATTGTACACTACACTCACCAATACATCATGCACACTGTACACTACACTCACCAATACATCATGCACACTGTACACTACACTCACCAATACATAATGCGCACTGTACACTACACTCAACAATACATCATGCGCACTGTACACTACACTCAACAATACATCATGCGCACTGTACACTACACTCATCAACACATCATGCGCACTGTACACTACACTCACCAATACATAATGCGCACTGTACACTACACTCAACAATACATCATGTGCACTGTACACTACACTCATCAACACATGCACACTGTACACTACACTCACCAATACATCATGCACACTGTACACTACACTCAACAATACATCATGCACACTGTACGCTACACTCATCAACACATGATGCACACTGTACACTACACTCATCAACACATCATGCGCACTGTACACTACACTCACCAATACRTGATGCGCACTGTACACTACACTCACCAATACATGATGCACACTGTACACTACACTCACCAACACATGATGAACACTGTACACTACACTCACCACCACATGATGAGCACTGTACACTACACTCATCAACACTTCATGCGCACTGCACATCGATTTCAAAAAACGTTGTGGTTCCGAAATCTGACATGGGAGAATTTTTGTGTTTTTCATGTTTTAAAAAATACGACAAATCACACTTCTAACCCTAAAGTGTTTCACATGCTTTATACTCCAATTTAAAAGGAAACTTCGTTGTTCGACTGTGGATAATTCAAGATTTTCAGCGTGCTACTCGGTCTCAGATTTCAGATTTCAGACATCCAACCGACCACGTTTTTTAAATAGGTGTATACCACRCAAAAGCTGCTACTGTTAACTCTTCTATAAGGTCAGCTTAAGAATCAATCATTATCTTCAATTAGCATAATTCTATTTTATCGAATATTATTTAATTAATTAATTTGTATTTTTAAATCTAGTTTTTTCATTTCATATTTACCTTAATTATTATTAAATTTCTTAATTTTATTTTTGATTTGGATTATGGATCGTTATGAAATATGTACATAGTGTTTTCACACGTTTTAATCTTACTTATGTATAAAACGCATGCGATCATGTCAACATGTAGCACGCTATATATCAGCTATTAAATTTATTATCACACAAAATTCACATCATGTTTCAGACTCACATTCTTTTGGATGAATAAGAAAAGATCAGTAATAGGCCCTTTGCAGTTAATGTCTGTACTATACTGGAATGCAAAATTTTTGTTTTTATATTAAATTGGTGATCCTTTTTAGCTACTTGTAAAGAACTGAATGAAATTATGTGTATCCAGTGTGTTATGAAATATAGTTTTATTACGATCTCTCGAAACAGGTCGTAGAAAGTTTGTTTGCAATCCAGTAAATTTCACCCTTGGGAATCAAAATGTTCATTCATTTGCTCTCAGTGAATTAATCAGCACGTGATTGCTGAGCTGCAAAGGGCCTATTTATATGTCAGTGATTTGAAGATCTAATCTAATAATAAAAGAACAACATTTCTAGGTATTCGTGAGAGCCCAGTAGGGAGTGTTTTGTAAATCTGTAGGAAGCCACACGACATCACGAAAATTAAAGCTAAAACTAAGTAATGTATTTGGGTCAGAAAATATTTTTCCTGCATATAAGAAATTAACATTTTAAGGTAAATATTGAACTGTTTATATCAAATACGGTTATATATGCTYGATGCAGGTATAATAGATATTTTTAAACATATTAATAAGCATAAATAATGAATTGTCTGGATTAAATACGTATCTTATACGTTATACATGCTTGGTGCAAATATAATAACAATTTTTTTAAATATATTAAAAATAATGAATTGTTTAGATTAAATACTTATACGTGATATATGCTTGATGTAAGTATAATATATTAGAATAAGGATAAATATTGAGCTATATTTAGATTAAGTACGGTGATTATAATCGAGTCTTATTGCTCGATTGCGTGTTCGAGCTAATCTCTCGATGAATAACCCAAGTTCAATATGATCTTGGCTTTTGTGTTCGTGTTTATGGTGAATTTGAAATTGGAAGTGTTATTTAGCCTCGTAGTGTCATTTAAAATCAATCAAGCAAAGAAGGGCGTCGGAAATACGTCACACGCCAATAATGTCGATATACTGATAATCGACTAATGATCGTTAATATTTTCACATGGGATAAGCAACTCAAAACAGACCTGAATGGTAAGTATTGCTTATATAAAAGTAAGGATTGAGTCTAATAAAACGATGACTTTGCGCATAGTTAATCGAGCGGAATGATAATCTTTTTCTGTTATTATGATAGAATGTATTTTGAGCACTCAATGTGGCTCTTGCTATGTTACCATGGAAACGCGAAGCAACGAGCGCCCTTAAATTTTGGTTGTCCGCTGTCATGCATTTCAGTTCAAACAGTTCAAACGCATCTAAAATAAATATAATCTATATATATGCTTATATAAGGTAGAAAATCTAGCTTAATATCATTTAACTACTAAGATTGGGATGACATATTGATGTAAGAAAACATAAGTGATGAGAAGAAATGAGAAGGTTTTCCATTTCTTTGATCGATATTTTTTAGGAAAGTTTCAGTCGAAAAAATGATATATCACTAATCTGACCAATTCAAATCGTATTAGTTGCCTATAGACAGAAATATTGACATCTTACTTTATTGAATATTGCTCTTCAGCTTTGCTATCTCAATTCGTTTACTATTGACTTAATTGTGCTTCGTTCTCAACAATAGGAGCTTTAGTTCATTGGAAAGGAGTTAAAGGCCTTTGTTCTATAAAAACAGATCGAATTTAAGGAAAGGAATTGGTCAGTTCGAAAAATTGAAAATAAACTTCCAAATTAAGTTTGAGGGTTTATAAATATATGTTCATAATTGATATTTGCATCTGTATTTATCCTAAACTGTCTTTAGTATGTTCCTTAAACATGAGCCTAAAACAAAATCGAAATTTGAATATTTTCCCTACGCATTTTTCAACATTCAAATGGAAAATCCGACTAAGTGAACTGCTAGTTTGACTTTTTAAAAATACAAAATTTTCAAAAAGTCCAAAAAATGTGCCAAAGGCAACACAAATTCCTCTCTATTGAATAAGAAACAATGATCTTGATAAATCATTTTGCATTAGAAAAAGCTGGATAAAGCCCTTGAGTTTAAGTTCACAGCACAGGAACAACAAAATCCTCTGACCCATACAATCTGATTGAACAATGATTGACATGTAGTTGAATGGGTTCAGCTTAGGCGGGAGTAAGCTAAGATATACTCTGTTCATCAAGTTAATTGTGAGTTTACTGGGTTGGAACCGTTCGTTTATTTGCACAAAAACCTAATGCTTTTATTTTTATAACTAACGTACTTTAATTCAAACAAAACAACAATGCGACAAATGGAAAAGATATACGTATTTTATATTTTAGCTGTGTATTTAAATGGTGGAAGATTTCAAATATTTTTGAAACAGAAAACCATCACGAAAGCGATGAAGTTCGACTAATTAAGTCATTTATTTGATTATTTATACATATCCATTTATTTTTTGTTTTTATTTTTGTTTTGTAAACTCAAACTTTACGGACAAGAGAGGGAAATAGATTACTCGACGACTTGTTTAAATTTAGTTAACCATTTGTTAAAGAATTTTCACATTCTTATTGATAAAAATTAATATGCCATAAAAACAAGTGTATACTTCAAAATTATGAATTTCCTAAATAGATGGCTTATAATTAACTGGGGCGCATTAGTCTATCAAAGGCATATCTATGCCGCTACAGCGTTTATAACTTTTAACAAAAAGAAAATCAAAGCCCTTCTCTGATCTGAAAGTCCTATTGTTGATGTGGAAGTTTCAGAATTCACAATAATTAGAATAATTTTTAGCTGTATACTAATGAAAATATTTATTATAATCTATGTATAAGATATATAATCTAAATATTATTATAGGAAATTCAAAACAGAGACTTTTTGATTTTGTTTCCATTGGCAAAAATCTCAAGTAAAAGTTTTAATTTTGGAAGTTTTGTAATTAACATTTTAAAATCCCTGAAGGGTTTCAAACGCCCTTTGTTTGTGAATCTTTTAAATTGGTATCTATGAACTATACTTTCTAGAAAAGTCTAGAGTAAAACTTTTTTCGCTGCACTATATATTTTTCTTTCTGAAGTATAAGAATAATAAGAATAAAATAATTTGATTGTTTACGATTTCTTCAGGCAAAATTTTAAGCGTCAAGCCAGACTGCGACTGTTCTGCTTCACTTATCGACTTTCATTATGCATAATAAGTAAAGTTTGAACTACACATCCAAGACAAACAGTCTACGATTTTAAACTTGAATATTTGGTGTAAAAATTACTTTTTCATTCGCTCATTTTCACTTTTTCTTGAGTCGTCATATATGAAAATATGTGTGATTACTGGTGAACTGCAAAATTACAAACTATGGTGTTTTCGCAATCTGATCAAAATGAGTAAGAAAATCATTATAATATATTTATTCTTTAGGAATTAAAGGAATTCGTCAAAAACAATTCGGCAATAAATTGCTTTTAGCCTGGTTTCTGGTTTTCATAACTTAAGATTCTCTAACTTCTCTTTAACAATTACGTTTTTTTTTTGGTGTGCACAAAAAAAGCTCAAAATGATTTTAATCAGTTATATAATTCAGAGTTAGAAAATTCAACCATATTTATTTCTTTTTTCGATTATAAATTCCTGAAGGTATTTCCTGGTTAGGAAGATACGAACCTTTTCGTTAATGGATATAATAATTTAACGTCACTTGGATGGATTTTTCTAGAAAAACAAGTGAAAATTGCGTATTTTCAAATCATCAATGCATGAGAGACCAAAGTGTTTTGAACTTTTGAACTTTTGACAATAGTAATTCTCCCTTCAAAACAATAAGCTTTTGTTTACGGCTTTGACATAAGTTAAGGTAAATCTGAATTACCATTTCACAAAACATTTGAGCAGTTGACGGATTACTGAGTACACTTTTATGTCGCACACTCCGGCCTAGAGTAGCTTACAAAACTCTCACTTACATAACAGACAAAACAATTATTGACAAGTGATTATTTGCAAACTCATAGTAAACGAAGAAAAAAAGGCTACCAATGGAGGTTACGTCTACTTATTTTCAACTTAATTTCGAGGTAAGAACGATAAGATATTGAAGATCAAACATGAGTTTCTTGTAAGTCATTTGCTCGAACGGGGGCGTGTCGAACTACTAAAAGGAATTCTCTTATTTTTTGACGATTTTCTTGCCATATAAAATACAATAAAACGGTAAATACAAGTTTTCTTGCAATCCATAAAGCGATTCTTATCGTATTTGAAACTTTTTTGGAATTTTTCCCCAAGAAGCTAGCAGAGAATGATTTGCATTCTCTCGTAGATCTATTATTGCATATTTTAATTTATTGTAAGGTAAGCTCTGCGCTAACTCGAGTCGCAAGATATTCTAACATGAGAAATCTACCTAGTATTTCTAAGAGTTGAATTTCGTGATTCGTGCCTCTATGGTTTCTGAAGTGCAGCGCTGAAAAATTTGATGGAAGCATTCGGACGTAACCTGTTAATAGTAAGTTACATCAAGTGTAACATAGTTAACTTTATTTTTTTATTTTTTTATTTATGATTATCTCATTTAGCATTTCAAAGGCAAATGTTAAAAAAGCAAATGAGAGGAAATTTGGGTTGTTTTGAAAGGATATTTAGGGAATAAGAAAATTGGTTTACTTCACTGATGCGTTTAGAATTAATTATGCAAAAACCTTTTGCAGTTAAAGAACTTAACACAGAAAGTTTTGCGCGCGGTTAAAAACGAAAAAAAATATTCGGAAAGCGGGCAGAATTGCAACAAATTACATTGCTTAGTCCATTGCTTACAAATTTATGTCGTTTTGATGGGAAAATTTGGAAATTTTGGGCAATTATTTTCGTTGGCAGTTAGTGAGTAAGGGGAGGATTTTTAACAAAAGAATTTTAGAATTGCCAAAACTCATCAAAGCATGGAGACATGATTGACAAGGGAAGTGGATAGCTCGTTATCATAACAGCTATTAAATGGCTTCCCCAAATCGATCCCATATGAAAAGAAAGTTCGTGAGGGATTATGAATTTTCTTAAAATCAATTGGTTAAAACTTTTAAACTGACTTTAATTATTCAAACTTTCATTTGCGCAATCTCGATACTTTGAAAAATTTCCAACCATAAAATTGCACTGAACCAAAAGGCACGGACGGACACACGGTGCAACATTGCAGGCAATGTTGCTGAAGTAGGATAGTTTTCTACTTCAGCAACGTTGCATTCAACAAATTGCGTCGAGTGTCATGGCTCGCAACATTAAAATTGCATGTAACATTGCGCGCAATGTTGCACCGTGTGTCCGTAGCTATAATTTAATTTTTTGTTCAAATTTGGGTAATGTTTTTTGTTAGTTTTGAAGGGGTTTTCAGAGGATTGTAATTGACAAATTACTGTTGCTTCATTATTAGTCGCCCAAAGTCCCAGCCAAAAGGGTTCACGACAAATCCGTAGAAGAAGAAGAAGAAGAATCTTATTCTAGGAAGCGGTTGATGTCTGCTGATGAGTTTTGCTTCTCCTTTGACGATCTCAACCGCCAGCTTTACAGCAAACACAGCAAAAACGACGAAATAGTTGAAGAAAATCAAAAAGTCCCAGATGAACTTGGCTTCTGTTTCTGTAAGTATTCTTACCCGCCCCTCTCCCTCTAAGGAGATAATTGAAGTTGAATTTCAGTGTAGTGTGACGCAGAGTGAAATATCAGTTTTACAATCAGCCCACTTTATATACAGGCTGTAGAAATGACTAGACGATGCGAATCTAGTATAAATAAATAAATGAATGAATGAATGAATGAATGAATGAAT